TACTCTGGCATGTAGCAAAGCATTTCAATTGATAGCTTACAAATCTAGTCTATATTGTTATTAAAATACAAGCAAAGTTTCCTTCCTATGACTGGCATCTGAATGATTATTACAGAAACATTGTTTACCTAGGGAAAGTTTTTTTTTTTTTAATAAATGTTTCTTTTTCTATATTTCCTCAGTGGCTGAACTCTCCACCTACCACTAAGTAAAATTTGGGGTCCGTATACAAATATTATCTCAGAGCTGACAGTTCCTTAAAATTCTATCAAGAATTCCCCAACATTCTGCATTTTCAAAATCTTAAAATATGTAAATACTTTATTAAGAGTTTCTGGGCATACTTGATACATGGGAATTCATTCAGTAATTCATGTGTTCAGTCAAATGCTCCTTGGGTGTCTACAGGGTTCAAGTACCATTCAAGATCATCGAATAGAGCTCCTAACCTTATGAAGCTTGTATAATTACATAGAAGACAAAGAATAAAGTAAACAGATGACATGCATACTAGAATTTCAAGTAGTGTTGAAGGAGAAAAATAGCTTAGAAGCAGGTGCTATGGAGTACCTGAAGAAGAGAAGAATAATTTGAGTTGCTGAAAATCTTGGAAATGTGCAGCAGGAAAAGATGAGGAAGCAGGAACAATGTATGAACAAGAAATGAGCAAGCAAGTAAAGTTAAATAGATAAGCAGAAACAAGATGTTCTGAGAATTTATAGTGCATAATAAGAAGTTAAGCCATTTTGTGTATGAGTGACTAAAGAGCTTTGGAGGGCTTTAAGCAGAACTCATGAGATGATTTATGTTATTGAAAGATATAGGGCTCAATTCTGTTTTCCCCACCATCAACACCATTCACTTTTCTGTTCAGAAGGTTTTTTTTTTAAGTTTACATATCTTATATTAGTAGAATTCTACAGTATTTGTCTTTTTGTTAGTGACTTATTTCAGTTAACATAATGTCTAAGATTTATCGTTATACATTTTGCAAAATGTCTTAACTTTTATTACTTTAAAAAATTCTAGTTTCTGTATTACAAATTGCCCCATCCACTCATCACAATGGACATTTTGTTTGCTTCCATGATGGCTCTGTTGAATAATATCATAACAAACATTGGTGTGCAAATATTTCTTAATTTGCCACATATGTAAGGGTTTATTACCACACTCACTCAGAATTCCATATGCCTGCCTCTTTGTCTAACTTTATGTCAGTATTAATAACTGAATACTATGGCTTGTAATAGTCAGGAAACAGTATTCTTCAATTTTGTTTGTATTTTGAATATTTTGAGGTATTCATACAATGTTGAGATTCCATACAATCATACAATTTCTAGAATAAGATTATTATAATTCTGAGAAAAATAAGATTGGAAGTTTGAAAGATATTACATGGAGCCTCCAGATAGCTTCAAGGTATACAAACACCTTTTAATTTTATCTTTAAATTCTTGAACAAGACCATGTTTAAGAGTATTCAATCAAGCACCACATGTTTATGGATTTTTGAACACCCCCTTCTACTCTGAATTCAAATTTTATTCTATGTTTACAAAATAATTTTAATATTTTAATGTTCATTAACCTTTGTTTTATTCCTTCAGTCAATACTATGCAGTATTGCTACTGAGAAAATTGAGTATATAAGTCTAATTGGCTTCAAATATTTTTCAAAGTTTTCTGTTTTGTGATTACCATTTTGTTTGATCTTATTTTTCTTTAGAATAAGGGGGGATTGGAGTATCCTAGTATTACAGTGTTGCTTTCTATTTCTTCATTTAATTCTCTTAATCTTTTCTTTCTATATTTGGGAAGTATGATGTGAGTTGCAAGTGTATCTACTCTTATTGCCGTATCCTAAGGAAATGTCCCTTTTATTTTTATATAATATTCCACTTTGTCCCCTTTTCAAAGTTGTTTTTTATTTAAAATCTATTTTATTCCATATAACTTTTTGCTCTAATCTATATTCCATATAACTTTTTGCCATTTTAGTGTATAACACTCATATCCTTTTACTTTTAGTCTGTTTGTGTCCTTAGATTTAGAGTCCCCTGTAGATTACACACAGTTGTATTTTTTTTAAGATTTAATTCTGTTAGTCAAGCTTTTTGTATTGATTGTTTTTTATAATAATTCATTTTTAATCAAATATATTGTAAAAGTGAAGAACTCACTACTCCTACTTTATTTCATATAGCTGTTTTTCCCACTTAATGGTTTAATTTGTTATTCATCGATTTTGATAGTGATTTGCTTTGATTCCTCGCCTACTTCCCTTAATGTAGTCTATGGATATTTATTTTGTCATTTATATTGAGACTTTATAAAGATCACTTAAAGTGTACACTATATTTTACACTGACAACAACAAATTAGCTTAAATTTATTATAAAAATTTGGTATGTTTATATATCTTTTCAGAATTAGGTTACTAATGTTACAGTTTATTTTTATATCACATACCCATTAATAGGTTTATGTTGATTTTTTGCATTTGGTTTTCAAGTTCTCTTGCAAAATCAAGTGTTTTATAACCCATCATTACAGTGAAATAGAATGGTTTATATGTGAATTTTCTTTGCAATAAAACATTAAAATTAAAAAAAATGAAAGATAATATCAGTACAGTGGAAGCAGAGAGCCAATTAACAGACTACTATAGGGAACAGGTAAGTAGAGAAGATGGGAATACATGCATCTGAAAAAGACATGGCAATGCTTTGGTCATGGAGGATGAGAGGGATCAGAGATCATTTCTGAGCTTTAAGATGATACACTTTGGTTAAAGGTAGGACTATTTCCCTACAGCATAGGAGGAACAAATTTGGAAAAGGAAATGAGGATTCTGGTTTGCTTATGTCACATTTAAACATGGACCATCTAGTTGACAATTCTATGTACTAGTATGTCTTTTAAAGGTTGAAAATTTATCCAGAAAATAAAATTTGGGAACTGTTAGTAAACAGAAAATATTTAAACTCATGGGACTGAGAGAAATACTAGAGGCTTATGGTAGAGGTAGAAAATAGAAATGATAGCGACAGAGCCTTGGAAAAGAAAATGTGGTGTATATACCCAATGGAATATTACTCAGTCTTAAAGAAGAATGAAATTATGACATTTCCAGGTAAATGGACAGAGCTGGAGAATATGCTAAGAGAAATAATCCAATCTCAAAAAAACCAAAGGCCTAATGTTTTCTCAGATATCTGGATGCTAATTCACAAGGGGTGGAGGGGGGCGGGTGGCTAGGGAAGAATAGAGGTACTTTGGTTTAGGCAGAGGGAAATGAAGGGAGGGGAGAGGGTATGGAGGTAGGAAGAATAGTAGAATGAATGGAACATTAATATGCTATGTGCATATATGACTGCATGACCACCGGTGTGATCTTACATCATGTACAACCAAAAGAAAGAGAAGTTATACTCCCTTTATGTATGATGTTGTCAAAATGCATTCTACTGTCATATATAACTAATTAGAAAAACTAAAAAAAAAGAAAATGGAAAAAATAAAAGGTTTGAAACAGAACACTCAGATAGAATACAGAAGAATTAAAAAAACTAAAGTATGTGTCCAAGGAAATTGTGATCAATTGTGCTGTGTAGTATGTGAATGAACATGTAATAATTGGAGAATTATATAAGTCTTTAAGCTAAAACACTTATCCTATAGTCGAACTATTCTTTAGGCTCTAACATTACCAACAAATTCAGGGGTTGAAGTCAGGGGCCAGTATGTCACATCCCCAGCCCTGTTTTGTATTTATTTAGAGACAGGGTCTCACTGAGTTGCTTAGTGTCTCGCTGTTGCTGAGGCTGAATTTGAACTCACAGTTCTCCTGCCTCAGCTTCCTGAGCCACTGCCCTTAGAAGCATGTGCTGCCATACCCAGCCACTTTTTTTTTTTTTACTGTCTATCTTCCTAAGGATCTTAATGGTTCCCTTCTGTCTGAGTCTGAAGTCAAACTGTACCATGTGCTCATCTGGTGCCTGAGTTGTTTACCTCACTTGTAGGATTTAAGAGATTTCCAAGCCTTAAGCACTGGAAAGATGATAATGTTCAACCCATTATCACCCTATATAATTCAAAATAAAAAGGATCTCAGCCCTAATTGAAGTAAGGACATCAAACACAATATTGACTGTTCCCTATTGTGGCTATTTTGATACCATTTTAAAATTGATCAAATGTTACTTTCTTTCATTAAAAAATATGTTTTATTTTGTTTTGGTTTGTTGTGGTTTGGTCTTTCAGTTTATCTTGGCTCATCTCAGGGGCAAAGTTGCGATCTTTATCAACCCTGAATCCTCAAGTTCATTGGCTATAGAACGGGTAGTAGAGGACATCTTTACTATGGGCTTTGCACATCTAAAACTCAACAAATGTTAGCTATCATGTATTTTTCTATTATTACTGTCATATTCCTTATTAATGTTATCTTAAAGGACTGTTGCAAGATTTAGTCTGACATGTAAATATTTAGCATGAAAATTAGTACAGAGTAGATGGTAAATTAGTTTTGTTTCTTTCCCTGCCATGCGTATTCCTCCACTTCAACACAGTTCTCCACCCTTCACCTTTCTCTGAGTATCACAATTTTCCAATACCTATAATTAAAATATATATGATTAAAAATAACATGATTTTCTCAGAAGATAAAATATTAGGAAGACACTGGGTGTTTGGGAAGAGAAATGTGATTGTTACAATAAATGTGGGAGAAAAGATGCTGGAGGCAGCCATTAATGTTTTTCTGTGTTATAAATCCTTTTGAAGTAGCCTATAGTAAAGACACTTCATGGATTCAGATTGAGTTATCCTAAAGAAATAATGATTCTGCTACATTTTATCCCTGAAAGTATGAAATCATAAAATATAATTCTTCATTTCTACAAGGCCATTCATTTTGGAAATCAGTTTAACTTTATCACTATCCTGTGTTTTCGTTTAATACAATAAATGAATAATATGTAATTTCATTTCAGGGGTTACCTGCAAGTCGTGTGAGATACAGAGTAGATGATTTGCAGTTTCCTTACCCTGCCAGTATTTTTGATGTAGAGGAAGATTCTGGAAGAGTAATAACTCGAGTCAATCTTAATGAAGAACCAACAACAATTTTTAAGGTGAGTGTGTCATATTCTTCACGTTGTCTATGTGACATTTACCTTTTGATTAAGAGTCTGGCTTAGCAGATATCAATATTTTTCCCAAAAAATTTTTAGTTGGTTTTTTTTTTTTCAATCAAAAACAATTTTTTTTTTCTCATAGAAACTTAGCGGGGGGTGGGGGGGACAAATAAAAATAAAAACAATCACTTGATATTTCCTTTTGGGAGGTAAGCAGATATTATCATTTTGATCTCTGTCCTTACAATGATTTTCTATACAAATGCAAATACACAGCTATGTTTTAAAATAACAATCATATTGTTCATGCTGCTTTTTAGCTCAATGACATTATGTTTTTTTTAATCTAATACTATGTTGTTGGATAATTAGGCTGCTATGAATAATTTTCTAACAATAAAATCTGCTGTTTAGAAACTACTTATGTGACAATCATTCGCCTCTTGCTAACTTTTTTCTTTAAGATAAGTACCCATAAACAGAAGTATTAAATCAAGTTCATGTATTGTTGATAACTTATGCATCTGGAAAATTTGAAAAGAAAACTACCTTCACTTTATATTCTCCATCATTTAGAAGAACACCCATTTTCATAGGATAACTCCACTCTTTATATTATTGTTTTTAATCTTTGTGTGTCTGCTAAAGCTCTTTGGTTTTTGTTCTATTTTATGCTTCTTGAAATACTCATGAAATAGAACATATAATTACCTCTTTTCTTTTTCACATTTTTATAACATAGTCAACAAATAATGCCTGTTTCTACATGTCAAGAAAATATTGAGCAATATATTTTCTATTATCATAAGTAATGAATTCCTTAAATGTTTGGGAATTTCAATTTTTAATAGTTACTGAGGATAATAACACTTAGAATATAGTCTTTAAAACTATACTAATAAAAGACTTTTTCAGTTACTCTTCTGAATATCTATGAGCACCCTGTCTCATATCATTTAATCATTGTTTGAAATAATTGCTCTGTTTTTAAACTAGCATTAACTCAGAAAGTAAATTGTGGTTCTCAGGATAATCCTTGGTTATGGTCTTCTGTGACCTAGGTAGAATTACTTTAGTAACTTGCAACTTCCAGGGAGATATGTATTCCAGGGAAACATACGTAGGAAAATGTTTAAGATGTCTGAAAATAAGCATTAAAGTTCTTCTTGTGCAGTATAGGTTATTGAAGTAAATACTCAATTGTAAAAGTATTGCATTAATAAATAACATATAGTTATCACATTCACAAAACCAATGATTTCATCTAATTCATATTATTTGAACAATTTCTACAATACTGTATGAACTTGGTTTTATAAATTTTATTTATAGTATTGTATAGCAAGTGAGTTAAACTATAAAGATTTCCAATTTTATTCTCTAGAGTAAAATATTTTGCCCTGTAAACTTGCAGACAACTAATTCACTGGAAAAATTAATTTCTTTTTATAAGCAAGCTAATTAGCTTTTTGCCATTGATGTGACTGAATCTAACACTTTTTAAATGGTTGTGGTGGTGCTATAAAAGCACATGCTTTTACCATACACAGCAGAGGAATGGAAAAAACAATTTTATAATTAAAGAGATAGAGTATTGTATGCCTGTTTTCCTGGTAGCTATTTTTCTTACCTATAGAGTTAGTAATTTATTTGTGATTGTTTTCTCAGACAAATAAAAATAACATCTACCTGGACAGATTATTGTGAAAAATCAAAATGAAAATGTAGCATATTCCATGTAGTACCTAGTATCTCATGGCCATAAGATAATGGTCAGTTTTCTCTCCTAGAAGCAGGCAGTCCAATCATTAAAATCATATGTGTATCATTGTGTGTTTATAATTTTTAATATGAAGTTTACTGTTTTTTTTAAGTTGGTGGTTGTTGCTTTTGATGATGGTGAGCCCATGATGTCCAGCAGTGCCACAGTGAAAATTCTTGTCTTACATCCTGGAGAAATCCCACGATTCACACAAGAAGAATATAGGTACTTATTTCTATAAAATTTTTAAATATATAAAGTCTTTAGGGTTTCATATCTTAGAAACATCTTCATTCCAGTATTGATGTTTAAATTCCTTAGAAAAAATATTTTTATATTTATTATCTTAGAAATTTGAGCTGAATTCTTGATACATACCTCCCACAATGACCCTGTGGTCTTATTTATATTGGAAGAGCCAATCAAATCACTATATTTCAGGATAATCAAATTATCCTGATTTAGTTAGGGTAGGTGTGTTACCTAGGTTTTTGTCACTCTAACCAAAATACCTGATGAGAACAATTCAGAGGAGGACAAGTTTATGTTGGCTCACTGTTTCAAAAGTTCAGTCCATTGTCACCTGACTTCATTGCTTTGGGGCCAAAATCAGGCAGAACTTCGTCAGAGAAGGTCATGTTGGAAGAGCACTGCTCCACTCAAGGTGGCCAGGAAGCATAGAGAGGTAGAAGAAGGGGCCATAGGGAAGGTACATTCTTCCAGGGCATATCCCAGGTGACCTAGCAACTCCAGCCATTCCCCACCTGCCTACCATTACATTCCTTATAATCCATTCAAAATAGATTGGTCTGATTTGCTTATAGTTCTCATATAATGAAATCATTTTAACTCTGAATACTTCTGTATTAACACAGGAGCTTTTGGGGGATACCTTATATCCAAACTATAACATTAGGTTAGACCACTGTAAAAGGAAACTTGTAAATTCTAGTGGCTAGATTCTTTAAATCAAAAGCATGAATTTTTTCCCAGTAAAGTGCAAGGTGAACACTTGGTATTGGCAGTAGTTGAAATATGCAGTCCTCCATGCAGTCATGCAGACACCAACTCAGGGACTATCATCTCTTACATTCTGTTTAAAAAATAATGTCAATCATTGCCATTTTAGTCAGCAAAAATACGGGGACAGGCAGATGCTCACATCCAGAAATTTCTTCAACAAAGTTGGGAATTGCACATTTTATTTGTGCTCACATTTCTTTTGAATTTTCAGACACAGGTCCACACTTAAGTATAATAGGCCAGAGAAATGTTGTTCTATGCTACATAATTAAACTAATTCCTCTTCCATCATTAAGGAAGAGGGGAAAGTGATTAAACATTTATTTTGAAGAGCATTTAGCACTTATTCATGATAAAAGCTTTCAAAACCATTTTTTGGCTTTGTGAAATGTACAGTAAAATATTGCTACCTATTGTACACACCACTGGTATTAATAGTCAATCTACTGGACCATAGCACACCAGGACTTCTTATCCTATCTAACTGTTACTTATTTCCTATTCATCAATTTATCTCTTCATTCTGCCTAATATTCCCAACTTCTGGTAACTATCATTCTACTCTCCCCCCACCAAAGCTCATGTGTGAGACAATGCAAGACAATTTAACCTAATCAGTGCATTAGTATGTTGATAGAGATTAACTGGGTGATAACTGTTGGCAGGTAGGAAGGTAGGTTGTGGTGGGAGCAGATGGGTCATTGGGAAAATGCCTTTGGAGTGTATATTTTGTTCCTGGAGAGCAGAGTTAGCTCTCTCTACTTCCTGGTGCCACATCCCAAACTGCTTTCCTCCTCTGTTGTGCCCTTCTTCCTTAACAGTCTGCCTTATCTCATAGAGCAGTGGAATTGGCCATCTATGGCCTGGGACTTCTGAAACTGTGAGCCCGAAACAAACTTTCCCTCCTCTGAAATTGTTCTGCTTAGGTCTTTTGGGCACAGCAATGAAAAAACAAACAAACAAACAAAAAAACACCTGATTAAAAGCAGCATCTATGAAATCAGCTTTTAGGATTCCACATATAAGTGAGGTACCTGGAACTTGTCTTCCTGTGCCTGGTTATGTCACTCAACATAATGATCTCCAGTTCATCCAAACATAGGAAATGGAAATGGTGTATTGAAGATCTCTACCCTCCCTTGTACACTGTAGCACTATTCACAATAGCCAAGGGATGGAAATAACCTTAATGCCCCTCAACTGATGAGTAAAGAAAGTACGATACATATGCACAGTGGAATAACTCTCACCTATAAACCAAAACAAAATCCTGTCATTTGTGACATCCATATTTTAAACTATGCTTCTTTAATATCTTACCTTTTTTGTGTGTGTGTGTGTGGGGGGGGATACCAGGGATTGAACTCGAGGGCACTTAACCACTGAGCCACAGCCTATTTAGAGACAGGGTCTCACTGAGTTGCTTAGTCCCTTCCTTTTGCTGAGGCTGGCTTTGAACTCAAGAACCTCCTTCCACAGTCTCCTAAACCGCTGGGATTACAGGCATGTGACACTTCACTCAGCTCAGTATCTCATTTGGACAAACAAGGACATGTCAATAATATTATTGTCTTCAAGTTTTTATATCCTATGTCATCACTCTTCGTTTTTCCTCTCCTACTGTTGCCTGAAACAAATGTCTTAAAGAGTTAATGGCATTTTATATTCTGTATTGTTCAAACATCTCTGTCTTTGTCCTTCTCAACATCACCTCCAGCTTAAATCTTTCTTCCTCTTTCTTTCTTTCTTTCCATCTTTTCAGTAATTAAGTTCAAGCAATAACTCCTATGTCAAGAGGTATGAGTTAACATTAAAATAATGAAGAAGTTTTTAAAATATTTACCCTTGTATCTTTTTTGTTGTTGTTGTTTGTGGTGCTGGATATTGAACCCATGGCCTTGTGCATGTAAGGCAAGCATTCTACCAACTGAGCTATATCCCCAGCCCTACCCTTTTATCTTTGTTTATACCATTTTCCACAATTTGACTTTCCTTTAAAATTGAGAAAAATAGATTAATCTTATTATGTTTTCAAACTCATATCACATAATGGATGGAACAGATCATGTAGATTTTTGGGTGGACCTCATAATTTACTATTTGATTTAGAAAATAGCCTTGACACAAAGTTGACTGGGCTCCTTTTTTGTTGTTGTTGTTGTTGTTCTTTATCTTACAGTTGTGAGGAGCTTGTTCCTTTCAATCTTCTGATGAATGTGGATGCTGGGAAATTGTTCCCTACATTGATATTACTATTACTACATTTATTCTTTTGAAGTATTCTTTATGCATCTTCTCTGAGCTTCCAGAATTTTAGCATTCACTTCTTCTTTCAAGTATTTGACTGAAACTAAGTTAAACCCTTAAGAGAGTGTGGAAAATGATACTCTCCAATCATTTATTAGCAATTATCTTGACAAGGACTGGGCTTAAGAAAGAGAACTTTGTAAACCTAGTCATCTCTGTCATTATTCTGTAACATATACATGAATAAATATGCATTATTTATCAATTTATTCATGTTTATTTTAACATATAAATATATAAAGATATTATAATATATGTTAAATTTCTACATTAATATTAATTAAATTTCTTTCTCTTCAATATTTCTTGAAACTTTCTAAATATTTAGAAACTTACTAGATACATATCATTTTAGAATTTATATTATTTTACAGAAAAATAAATAATTCTTGTATTAATTTCCTTAATGTCCTATGTTATTTTAATATGAGATTTGACAAGTAGTAATTTCTTTAGGGAGATACTCCATTTGAGAAAACTGAGAAAGAAAGAAGATAAGACCAGGAAAACCTTCAGACCAGAATATACTGTGAACCCAAGAAGGAGGAAATACTGGGCACAAACACCCTTGACTACTGTGTAATTGAAGTGACTACTGTGTCATTTAAGTGTGGTTTCACAAGACAGTAAGGTGGTCTTCAAGCAATAGACAAATATCAGATAATTACTTCTCTTCTAGGAAGGAACCTGCCTTACCATCTCTATTTTCCATTATTAATTGCTAGCGTCCCATAGCAAATATGTTTTTCATCCAAACACAGCAATACATTTCAAAGCACAGCAACTAGGATATTGGTCAACTGTGCTCCATGCAGATGAACATCTACAAGGCATATACTCATTGCCAACTCATGTCTGTATTTGATGAGAGACTCCAATCTTTTATCCCTTGGGATCTTCTGGGAAATAGTTATATTATTAAGAGTAAATTATTTAATAAATCTCTCCTTTAATCTATACAGATACATAAAATTGTAATAATAGTTAAACAAATAATATTACCTCAGAATAGATTGACTCCTGTAGGTCAAATGTGTTAGCATTCTGAAGAACGGCATTTGACCTTCATCTTGGGATGATAGACTAAGTCTTATACACACTGGAATTTACTTGTCATCAGCTTCAGAAGCAAATATCATGGAAAGGTCAACATGTCTGAAATACATCATGCAGTCTAGATGTGAATATTGATTTGGGGTAGGAAATGCAATATCCTACCCCACAATTACACAATTTATCCAAAAATTAATCAAAGAAATCATTTACAAATATTCAAAAAAAAATGCCACCTATATAGGCATACCTTTGACATCCACTCAAAATGAGAATGTAGCAACCTTTATCATTAATTGTTTCTTATATTTAAGGTCATATTTATATTCATTTTTCAAGATTCATATATCTAAAAATATAGTTTCCATAAATACAAAAGTTCAAAAGTTTTATTGTACATATAAATAGGAGAAAGGTCAAATATTCCTGAGGCATTCTGGATAACTTATTGAACAAGTTGATATTTTGCTAAACCTAGAGAAAATACTGGGTTGTTTTTCAATTTCTAGTATTCAAATTTCTAGTATTCAAATACAGAAAATCCAAAGCAAGAATATGATACATATGTACATCTTGACATTTTCCAAAATCAAAAACCCTTTAAAAATATTTCAATTTCCCTACTGCAGTTAAAACAAAATTTGTATATTGTTGATTAATATGAATTAATTTTGTAATAATATGAATTAATTTTGTAATGACAATTCAATATGATATGCAATTTATATTTAAACTTAGACTTTACAACCCTTATATCAAAAAATAAAATTTTTAGAATAGATTTTTAAAAGAATTAATAGTATACCTCCCTCTGTGGCAATCTAGAGGTATAATATAATATG